TCCACAGCAGTGGGTGTGGTTTGGGCTTTGCTTCTGTGAAGATTGACAGCCTTGGAAACCCTGTGGGGCAGTTCCACTCTGTCCTCTAGGGGCGCTGTGAGTCAGAATCGACTCCATGGCAGTGGGTGCGGTTTGGGCTTTGCTTCTGTAAAGATTGACAGCCTAGGAAACCCTATGGGGCAGTTCCACTCTGTCCTCTAGGGGCGCTGTGAGTCAGAATGGACGCCATCGGGAACAACTTGATGACAGTGAGTTTGTGAGGTTTTTTTTTTTTTTTTCTTTTTGGTTTACTGGGAAAAAACAGACAAAAATGATCTGCTATTCCTTGGCTTAGGTGATCCCTAAGGTTAAGGAGTTTCACTGCTACCTGAAAAGTCAGCAGTTTGAATCTACTCAGAGGGACCTCAGAACACAAGCCTGCCGATCTACTCCGAAAAGCCAGCCACTAAAAACATTACAGAGCACAGGCCTCCGTGACACACAGGTCGGTAAGGGTCGGCATCAACTTGACAGCGGCTGGGTTGGTTTTTGTCTCTGAGGTAAGAATCTTCCATCCACAACAATCTAGGAACACATTTATGGATCCCGAAAGAATTATCTCTTATGTGTTGTCCACATTTCCACCGGAGTATGCGAGGTGATGCCCACCGACTCACAGAGCAGACATGTAAAGTTCTGACATACTGATCGCGTTCAAATGTAGGTTCTTGTTTCTAAAAAGCAACGTTTACGATTTTTAGCAATTTTACCAAAGGATCAGATTTAATAAGCCATCTGAAAAATTACCAACTCGAAAGAAAACAAAAAACCCCAGCTCCCCTAGGAATTCACGTCGCAAAACATTTATTAATAACTAAAATGATTTTCCCCCTGCCTTTGGTTATCAAAAAAAAAGTGATCGCTTATGTTCATTGATACTAATTGCTGATGCCAGCTTTACATGATTGTCATGAGACAGATATAAAAAGATATAAAAGACCACACCTCTCAAAAGTTTCATTAGAAATCTTAGTTTCACTAGAAACTAAGAAACATTTTGAAATGTACTTGCACATACTTCAACTTATTTCTTTATATAAGTAAACAATACACAAATAAATTCACTTGAATTGAAGAACTCAGGATGAGAGTGATGAATACAGAGGTTGTTGAGGAAGGAGGAAAACAAGACCAAAGACCCAACTTGGCGGTGGGAGAAAGACTATCTCCTTTTCAAAGGCTTTTCTTTCAACTGAACAGTTTCTAGGAGCTCTGGTGGTATAGTGGTTAAAGAATTTGACTGCTTAATCAAAAGGTTAGCAATTCAAACCCACCAGCCTCTCCATGGGAGAAAGTTGAGGCAGTCAGCTTCCGTAAGATTGACAGACTTGGAAACCCTGTTGGCAGTTCCACTCTGTCCTCTAGGGGCGCTGTGAGTCAGAATAGACTCCATGGCAGTGGGTGTGGTTTTGGCCTTACTTCTGTAAAGATTGACAGCCTTGGAAACCCTGTGGGGCAGTTCCACTCTGTCCTCTAGGGGCGCTGTGAGTCGGAATCAACTCCACGGCAGTGGGTGTGGTTTGGGCTTTGCTTCTGT